AAATAACACTGATTTTTCATTTTTTAATATTCATTGTCCAATTTTTATTTGCAGTTCAAGGAGTTCCTTGGCACATACAATAAACTTACAGAAAATTGCTTCGTGGATTGCATAAAGGATTTCACTAGCAGAGATGTGAAACCAGAAGAGGTAGGTGATGGCTTCTCATGACCCTTTGGTAGAATTGCTGTGCAGCATTCCCATTTCAGAAGCAACTTAGAGAGTTTTGATCTTTAAACCAATATACAAAGCCAGGCAGCAGCCTTCAGTGGAGTATGGGGGTCTGGCATGTTGCTTTCAAATGAGTGTCCCATCCCAGACCAGGTTGGACAGGGCTTGGAACAGCCTGGGATAGTGGAAGGTGGCCCTGCCCATGGCAGGGGGTGGAACTGGATGCTCTTTAGGGTTCTTTCTCACCAAAACCATTCTAGAAGTGGTTGGCACACACAGAATCTGCCCAGTCTCCACTGAACATTGGCTGCTCATTGCAATTCCATGTTTCATTCCCTGAGCTGTCAGTGGAGGTTCTTGTGCCTTAACTTGTCATGGATGGTAATTCCATGGACATGGGAGCTGCCCACCTACAGCCTGCATCTCATTCTTTGAGGAGTCCTGCTGAAATATTTGTTTACCTGCCTACATTCCTGCTTTCTAGTGAGTCATGGGAACACAGCTCTGGCTGTTAAATCCACTTCCCTGCACTGCAGGGAGCTCCTTCACATTGTCATCTGCTAAAAGATTCAGCTCTCAATAAGATTAGTTGCATGTTTTTGCTTCTCCTCACCTGTTGAGAGGCTGTTTCAGAGACTAATCATTTTGTTGGTTAAAAATCTAATAACCTTTGCTTAACTGTGCTGGCAGGGGAAAAAAAAAAGCTTAAAATTTTGAACTAACCATTGTTTTTGAGCCTTTTCTGCCTCCTTGGAGTTCAGCTTCTCACTGAAGGCAAAACTTACGTCTCCTTTCAGCTTTGGTTCTGCTGCCCTGAACAGAGCTCTCTTAGCTTCCCAAGACAGATTTCTTCTTTCCCTAATCTCCTCTGCATCTGCTTTAGTGGAATTGTTTTACAGGTCATAATTATTCTGGATTAAATATTACTCCAAGAATCTAAGAATATTTTTTGGACCTAAGTAACCTGCACAGGTGTCCCTGCTGTGGCAGGGGGTTGGAATGAGATGATATTTAAAGTCTGTCCCAACCCAAACCATTTTCTGATTGTGACCTGCTTTTTTTGGCTTCTGTGGATTGCAGATGGTTCATGTCTGGTAGCACAGGAGCCATCTGTTAACAGTGGAACTAGGAAGAAGCTTCCTTTTGGGAAGTTCTGCCCATATTGTCCATTACGGGATTTCTTGCAGAGTACCTGTCTCTGGAAACAGGACACTTGTCTAGATGGACACTGGTCTGTCTGCAATGGAAATTCCCATGTTTCTCTTGAGAGTTGTAGTTCCTTATTAAATAATTAATACCTCCATGCATCCCCTTTGGGATCCTACACTTGAAAAAACCCAACTTGTGAGCTCTTTCCTTGGACAAATGCCAGTGCAAGTCTGGACTTCCCAGCAGCGTGTCACACACTGCTCCCTCTGGCAGCAGAGGCTTGGGGCAGTTCCAGAAGTTGTCTCCTAGGGAGACTCCAGTCCTGCTCAGCAGGTTTGGCTGAGGACAGAGAAGGGCAGACACTGGGTGGTGTGTGGAGCTTCCTGGGGTTTTGTCTGGTTCATTTTCATCCCTTCTGCTTTTTCCATTCCTCTGTACCGAACAGAACCAAAGCAATGTCTGTTGTCTGTTTTCCCAGGCAAAGGGGTTGGCTTTCCTTTCCACCCAAATTTGTTACCTTTGCAGTGATAGGAAGGTTTTGAGCCATGGCACAGAATACCCAATTCGTAGGACTGTAGCTCAGAAATAACCTCTCAACTTTTTCTCTACACTTAAAGAAAGAAGCCCCTTTAAATTTGAAAAATGTGGATGGAATGGGCTCTGGTATTTATTTCCCAGTCCAGCTGACTTATGTACTCTAGTGGCTTTGCTGAAGGGAAACAAGGCAGGTACCAGAAGGCTGATACAGCCAATGGGAACAGGGTAAAAAAGGGTTAAACTGAGTTAGCAGATCATATTTGGTTGTCAAAGCCAGTATGTATTTGTGAACAGAATTAAAATAAAATTAACTAATAGATTTATTATTCATTTCCAAATATATAGTTCAATTCCACAAGAGGAGCCCAAGGACAAAAGGATGGAATCTCCTAGGTCCAGAGTGTTTTCAATGGAGACTTTACTATGAGAATAAATATAAGCAGATGTGCCAGGCATACCTGAAAAACTCAACTTTATTTGTTTTCTACTGCCCTCATCTTGAGGCTTGGCAATATGAGATGTACTCACCTAATTGTTTATCCCTGTCTGTGGTGGTATTTTGGGTCCTGGCTGGGGATGTGTTTGACTCACTGTCTGAAGCCCTCTGTTTCCTTCTTGCTGTAGATAACTTGCTCAGAAAACTGCCTGCAGAAGTATCTAAAGATGACACAGAGGATCTCCATGAGATTCCAGGAGTACCACATCCAGCAGAACGAGGCTCTGGCAGCTAAGGCAGGACTGCTCAGCCAACCTCGTTAGACCAGAGCACTGTGCTCAGACTTAAACTGTGCCAGTGTTCCCTGGGCAAGAACACATTGGGGGATTCCTACTGTCAGGACGTGTGCCCAGCAGCTCAGAGCAGAGCTGTGGGTGCTGCTCAGGCAGTGGGAGCCATGAAGGGTTAAACAGGAGCTCAGTCCTGGTGGCCTGGCAGTGGAGTTGTTTCCACAAGGGAATGATGCAGCTACAACTTTTCCCAGGGCCCACAGACTGGTGTCTGAATTTCAGGGGTGGTGGGAGGGCTCACCTGCCTTTTGCTGAGACTGGTTGAGATGAATCAATCTAATGTGGGGAGAACACTTTTTTATTTAATTCAAATAAAATCAACGGGAGCCATACACGTGTGTGTTCTTTTCAAAGAGCCATTTTTGGGACATTTGAAAGCAGCATGTTGTTTGCTGGGGGCTCTTTGCTCAGCTGCTCCAGAGTTCACTGCTGCTTTAGGAGCTGACAGATGCCAGAGGGAGCTCCGGCAGGGGTGCCCAGGTTATCTTTGCCTCTGTCTCACTGTGTCATTTACAGGGGATAGAGGGGCATGAGCAGCGCTTGAGCACTCTCTGTTTCCTTTGGGATCCTCCGGGCCTGACACACTCCAAGCACTGAACTTGCTGCAGTTTTCTCCTTTCTCCTCTGAATGCCAGCAGAAAACACAGGCCCTGCACAGCACAGGGTCTGTCCTGCTGCTGCAGGAGCCCAGAGAGAGGTCTGCAAGGCAGCTGGATTGGGTTAGGAAACACAGCAGTGCTTTGGAAAGATCCTGACAGCTGAAATGCTGCAGTCAGGGCATTAGTGCAGTGGAATGACAGTCAACAGGCACCCTTGTGCTTTAGTTCTAACTCATAAAATACAGGAACAATGGGAACTGAACAGCAGGAGCACCAGTTTTGAGACTCCACATGATGAGGACTGAACCAAAGCTATTTCATGTCAGCTGCCAGGTTCTGTTACTGAAGGAGAGGCAACAGCAAGGAACAGAAAGGGCAGGAGGACTTTTTGTTGTTACCCTCTACCTTTTCATTTCCAGCAGCAGCTTGAATGAATAACTCAGCTGTCCAGGCTGTGGCTTCCTGGCCCCTGAGGGCAGCACCAGACACTGCTGTCTGTGCTGCTGCTCCAGCTCTCCCTGCACCCTGCTCCCGTGCTTGCAAAGTGTGATCCTCCAGTCTCACATTTCTGTGTTTGCACTCACTGTATCACAGCCCCTTCCTCCTCTGCCTTGTTACCGAGGAGATGGAGAAGAGCTCACTCTGAAATAGTGAAAGCTAAAACCAGCCCAAATAAGGCAGCAAGTCTCCAATGTCCTGTTTTTTCAAAGTAGTATCAGGCTAAAACTGTCCAGATTGTTTGCTACAATCAGGCCACAAATGCTGCAGCCAATCTGAATCAATACATAATAAAGACTGAAGCCTTCCCTTGAAGCAGCTCTGTTTGTAAAACATTTGAAGGTAATCCATGATTGAGATTTTTCCACTGGATCTTTATGTGCAAAGAGTTGCTCAGAAAAGTGCCTGAAGAGTTTAACTGATGGAAGTGGAGGATTTTCATGTCTTCTGAACAAAGCACCTTGGGGCTGAAGTGAGGGGGTGTTAAAGTAATGGTTTTCTCTCATTTCAGTATTTGGAGGTAGGAATATATTTATACTTATATTTATTAGGACAGATTTCTTGAAGAAAAAATTAAGCAGGCTTTAGAGGGACTTAGTTAATAAATTACCCACTTTGGATAACCAGTTTTGTCAGAGCTTTGTTTCTCTACAAAAGTGTTGTGGTCTTGCAAATCCAGGTGACAAGTTGCATACAGACCATACAAATATATTTGAGCTTGAAATAAAGTGTACCCATGTAACTAAAGCATCTAGGTGATAAAAATAAATAATAAAAATAGGATCCAGTGTAAAACCATTTTTATCCTAAGAGAAAGACAACAGCATTTTTCTTAAATGCTGTTAAGGGGTGTCAAGAGGAGGTGAATCACGACGCTGAGGCACAATAGGTGCAGGAATGATGGAAGAAGGAGCAAAGGGTGAAAAATGGGAAGTTGCTGAGAAAGGAGTACTGAGAAAGCTGTGGAAAAAGTGAGCCAAAGTGGAGGTGGGAGGGGAGGGAGCAGGAGGGCAGCCTGCCAAAAACCAGCTCAAGGAAACTGAGCTGGTAAACAGACACTCATTTGGAGATGCTCACTGCAGCAGCGACAGGAACGCGGATCTTTCCTGCTGGAAACACACAATTACTGCCCGGCCCACAGAAACCAGAACCATCTCAGCAGGAAGGGGCAGCTGAGAACCTTGCTCCAGAGTGCCCTGGACAGCAGCAGGGCTGGCACAGCCATCAGATCAAGCAGCTGGAAGAATGTAACAGAGGCTCCTTGAATTCTCTCCGGGATCAAAGCAAAGCCCCAATTTGTGTAATCCCCTGCTGAGCTCTGTTGGAAGGCAAGAAAAGGAGTGACTGCAGTGCTGTGTCAGGGAGTGTGGGTGAAACACTCAGTGTGGCTGTGGCTTCAGAGCAAGGAGGCAAATCCTCTGTGCTCTGCCATTCCCCACTCTGGGAGCTGGAGCTTAGCAAGAGCTCTTGTTTCAGCGTTTTCTCTTAGCTAGTTGGGAAGTCAGCACATAGCATTTGAGGAATCTAGTTTAAATCTTAGCAAGTCCATTAAGCTCAGCTCCAAAACTCCTTGAATAAATCTGGCCCAAACTCTAAAAGCTGTACAAGCAATTAAAGCCTCTGACACCTCAACTTGCATCATGCCTGCACCTTGAATTTCCAGAGGGCAGCATTAAAAGAACTCAAAAAGTTACAATTCTGCTTCATATTTGAAGGGTTTTTAAAATTATGTTTTACCTTAACTTCACATTCCTTTGTGTTTTGGTGTCAGGGATCAGCAGATTCTTCACAACAAATGTCAGGTAAAATGCACATTACAACACTTTTACAGCAATAACTGGATTTAGATCAGGGGATGCAGTGAGCAGCATCCTCCCTGTGCACTGGGGCAGTCCAACAGTAAAGGGTCAATATGAGACCAGCTCGGGGCTGAATGTACCATCAGCTGATGGTTCAAAGGCACAGAGAGGTGTTACCCTGCACAGGGATGCTGCCCAGTGCCTCTGAGCCAAAGAGAAATCACATCCTCCTCCATTGTTCAGAGTTCTCCAAAGGACAAGCAGGAAACAAGAACAGCAGCAGCCAAACCACAGCCACAAGGATCAGCTCCCTCTTGCACTGCCTGTGGATAACATTATTCCTAATTATTCCACAGGATTAAGTGGGGCTGCTCTCACATTCTGAGTTAATCACATTCAAATAAATACCTGCACAAGACCAACATAAAATTTTACCTCTCACTGGTTCCAGTGCCAAAACATTTCCTTATCAGAGAGGGATTGTCCTGCCCACCTTAGGGCAGCCACTGCCCCCGAGCACCTGCAGGGTGGGAAGCAGAGCACATGCAGAAAGAATCAAGGGTTGGGGTTTTTCTTTTTTTTATTCTTTTTAAAATAGCTTTATTTATTCATAAGGGAAATAAAGGAGCATCAAGATAGATGGTTTTAAGTTACACATACACATAAACAAGTGCCTTGTTAAAACAGAAAGAAAAGAAACTCTTGTGCAACATAGCAAAGTATTTCATACAAATTCCACATCTTACCCCTCCTTATGAAACTGGCAGAGCTGGCAGGAGCACAGTGAATTAGGTCAAGCTGTACCCAGATGAGGGATTAGAGGAGGAGTTTAGGAACAGCTGAAGACACCGACAGTGCTGGAATGGAAATGTTCTTGGGTTACTCTGAACAGCAGGAAAAACAAGAAACATCATCAGACCCACAGCACCAGGCCAGAGCAGTGTGTCCCTCAGCAGCAGGCTCAGGGTGAGGGTTAAACACAGAGTGACAACCCCTGTAGATTGTCACAGCTGCAGCAGAGCTCCAGGGCAGCTTTTCTTTGGAAAGAGGGAAAGTGAAGCAAAGCTTCTGTGGTTACTGCAGGGACTGAGCTGTGCTGGTGCACTGAGGCCAAGTGGCATCAAACAAAGACACTGCTCATGTTTGAGAACTGCTGGTGTGGGATAAGCAGCAGCAGGAGGGTGTTACCCAAAGTAAACAGCTGCAGAGCTGAAGCAGAACCAACCTGCTCTGAGCCAGAATGTAGGGTTCCTCTGAAATGGGAAGGAACAGGAATAACAGCACAAATAGCAAAGATAATTCAAAACAGACACCAGACAAGTCCTGTTCTTAGAAAAAACTGCTTTCACAATTGACAGTTTTATCCTTCCAGTTTTCTTTAAATGACAGCATGGTGAGTATTTGTCATTGGGTTGTGGCTAATCATAAAATCCACCACTCATTGGCATTAAAACCAACACATAATCACACCAAAAACACTGGAACACAAAAAATTGAATTTACATATCCTTCCAAAGCAATGGATAGAACTAATAAATACTTGTGGAATTTGGGGAACTCAAAGATCAACAGAGCAAACAAAAGACCCCAAATAAATCCCAGCTACTCAGTGGTAACTGATAAAGGTGACAAATTTTAAACTCTGAGACCTCCTAAAATCCCATCCTATTTGGTGTGAGGTTAATATGTGAGAACGACAGATTTTCTCAAAATTTGAGAGCAATAGCTTAATAGTGTGAGCTAATTATAAAATGTCATTTTCCTTAGCCCTGGAATTACAGTGAGTCAGCCTCTGGCATTATCCCCTTTGGTTCCACTGTTTTCTTATGTCCCCCACATGTCCAGAGCCTTTATCCTGCACACTGTAGCAAATAATAAAATACCAAGACCAGAGAAGGAAAAATAACCGAGATTTCAGTGCATAATTTTTGCAAAGGCAGGGGCACAGTGAAGTAAACTGCTCAAGAAACTTTTGTGAACACATTAATCTTTTATTTCAGCTGGTAAATCTGGCTCCTGGCTCATGTCAGATTTCTTTCAAGCCACGAAACCAAACTTGCCTTTCTTAAAAAAAAAGACAACAGCATTTCTTAGACTTATTGCTGTAAAATAATTCCAGTAAATGCTGCCCAGAAAATCCATTTGGCTGCCTCAGCTATCCAAGAATACTTTTAATGGGGAAAAAAAGAACATACTATAAAAGTATTAATTTTTTAATGTAATATTCCATCTGGTTGACAAACCTGTCTGCAGAGAGAAGGCTCTCTCGGAGTGGATATTCTGACTGAGGCACACGAGTTGACAATCCTTAGATTCAGGTTCTCTTCCCAGCTCCACATCAAAGCCATCCTGAGAAATTTTAGTAGCCATTTCTGCATGGCTCCCCCTACAAAAAATGAGAATATGTAACCACTTAAAAAATTTCTGTCTATTCTA